GTCTCGCAAATTATGAAGACTTTGGAGGAACGGTTCGGAAATCCTGACTTGCTGGTGAAAAGCCAGATTAGTAAAATTCGTGACGTGCCTAGTATCGCCGATAACCGAATAGAATTGTTGATACCGTTTGCAACTAAGGTTCAAAATCTAGCTTCTTTCCTAAAAGCGGCAAACTGTGACCATCATTTATGCAACCCGACCCTTATGGATGAATTGTTAGGTAAACTGCCAGTTCAACGGAGGCTGGAGTGGGCTAGGCACGCGGTGACGATTACTCCAAGAGCATCGATTATAGATTTCAGCAAATGGTTGCAAGAATTGGCTCGCGTTGTTAGTTTGGCATGCGCGAACATAAACGAGCGCTCAAAGTCAGCCTTAGGTGGTGAGCAACGCCAGCGATTTTTTCACGCCAACGAAGTAGCTCCGAGCAGTAGGACTTGTCGAATTTGTTCGGAAGGTCATGACGTAGCAAAATGTAAGCAGTTTTTAGATATGCTTTGTAATCAGAGGTGGAGGGTTGCCCGTCTACATAAACTTTGTTTTTGTTGTTTGCGACCGGGTCATTCCGGTAACCATTGCCCAACTCGTAGTCGAGGTGTAGGGTCCAAAGGGACGCATAAGCTTTTAAATGAACGCAATAATGAAACGAATAAGCAGCAAGCGCATCCAATGCTTACGAGCGCCGTAGTTAGGCCCACATACAGAAAGATTTTGTTCAAAATTGTCCCGGTTAGGTTGTATGCTGGGAGCAAGCGAATTGATAGTTATGCATTTTTCGACGAAGGTTCGGCGATTACATTGATGAACGAGAGTTTGGCTGCGAGACTTGGGTTGGAAGGGAAAAAGGAAAGGCTGACACTTCAATGGTTCGGCAGCAACACCGCAACAGAGATGTCTACGCGCGTGGACTTGGGAATTTCGGGCACCAGGAAAAATAGTAGAATTTTCAACCTGAGGAACGTTAACACAGTGTCTGATCTACGATTACCGATGCAGACGTTAAATATCGAGGAGCTTTCATCGAAATATCGCCACATGAAGAAGCTACCCGTATGCAACTACACCGAAGTTACTCCAGAGCTACTGATCGGGATTGATAACGCGCATCTAGGAGTGGCACATAGGGTTGCCAGTGATGGATGGAAGGGTCCGGCGGTAATCATGACCAAGATAGGTTGGGTCGTGTACGGCCCTACAGAAAGAGGACCGATCGAGAACATACATCAGGTGTTTTATACGGACATAGACCATAGCCAGGGCGACGCGCTGCATCAGTTAGTGGAATAGTTCGTGGCCAGTGAAGACCTGGGCGTCCGATGCGTCGAGACGGTCGAAAGCGAAGATGTTAAGAGATCCAAGTTTATTCTGGAAAGTACGAAGGTGCGTAAGGGCGAGCGTTACGAGACTGGACTTTTATGGAGACGGGAAGATCCACAGTTGCCGAATAGTCGACCAATGGCAGAAAAACGATTGATTTTGCTGGAGAAGAAATTCGAACGTGATAACGATCTCAAGAGAGAGTATGTGCGCGTTATGGCAGAATACCTGGAAAAGGGCTACTCTAGGGAACTTCATGACGACGAATTATCTGCTGAAAGTGACCGGACGTGGTATCTTCCTCACTTCGCAGTACACAACCCAAACAAACCAGGAAAATTTCGACTCGTTTTCGATGCTGCGGCGAAGGTCGATGGTTGCTCCCTTAACTCTGCGTTATCAAGCGGACCTGATCAGTGCCAGCCTCTATCAGCGGTCTTAATGAAATTTCGCCAGCGAGGGATCGGGGTATGCGCGGATATCGTCGAGATGTTTCACCAGGTGATGATGCGAGAGAGTGATCAGGCAGCGCAAAGATTCCTTTGGAGAGCAGACCCAGACGAGCCAATCAAGGAGTACGCAATGGCGGTTATGACATTTGGAGCAACTTGCTCGGCGCAGTACGTAAAAAATAGTAACGCTTTGGAGTTCACGGAAAGATTTCCGGAAGCCGTCAGCGCCATCCTCAACAACCATTACGTCGACGACCTAGTTCATTCATTTTCCAGTGAGTGCGATGCCCTGAGAATCCTTCCTGAAATCGTGTGGATACACAAGAGAGCCGGATTCGACCTAACATGCTTTGTTTCTAATTCCCGGCTGGTTAACCAAAGATTCAACGATGACGCAGAAAAGCCTAAAGTCTTTAGCCTCGATAAGGAAGCTGGGACATTTCAAAAGGTGCTTGGTATGTGCTGGGACACTGGTAAGGATGCACTGCGTTTCGCAACAGCGATCGACAAGATTGACAGAAACTTACTGAATGGAACAAGATTACCAACCAAGCGAGAGGCGCTAAGTGTCACCATGTCTATCTTCGATCCGTTCGGCCTAGCAGCAGAATGTTCCTTGGTAGCCAAGCTAATCTTGCAAATGACTTGGAGGAAGCGGGTCGAGTGGGACGACGTGATACCAGTGGATCCAGGAGTTCTTTGGAGAAAATGGGTGGCGGTGCTCGAAGATTTGGTCAACCTCAGCGTTCCGCGATGTTACAGCACCTCGTTCATGAGCGTTCCAGTGGAACTGCACATATTTGCAGACGCCAGTGAGCTGGTTTATGCAGCGGTCGCCTACTGGAGGATTATGGAAGCATCCGGGTCGGTTCAACTAGCGTTCGTGCAAGGGAAGACGAGATGTGCTCCACTGAAACTGACCTCCATCCCTCGCTTGGAGTTACAATCGGCGCTGCTAGCTACGCGTCTACGACAACTTATAGTACAAAGCCACGATATAATACCCTCAAGAGTGGTGATGTGGAGTGACTCAAAAACAACAATATCTTGGATCCAATCGGACCACAGACGCTACAAACCTTACGTGGCCCATAGAGTGAACGACCTCTTGGAAAATAGCAAAATTGATGAGTGGCGGTGGGTTTCAAGCAAACTTAATCCAGCCGACTTCGGAACGCGCATAAGACAGGCAAAAAGGAAATCGTTTTGGTTGAGCGGCCCAACATTCTCACTTCAGAGCGAGAGTAGCTGGCCTGCACCGACGCAGACAGTGGAGACGAATGAAGAACTACGAGCAAAAATGACCTATGTGTTCATCATGAAATATTCCAAGATCTTCGAAAGGTTCTCCTCATTCCAGCGACTAAAACGAATATTTAGTTGGGTCTTACGTTTCTACGATAATTGCAGGCGCAGACCGACTGAAAGGAAATCCGCTCATTTAGATCCATCCGACATGGAGAGAGCAGACCTGGTGATTTGCCGTGTGCTTCAGATGGAAGCTTACGATGAAGATTACAGATCCCTGAAAATTCGAGGGCGCGTGGAACGCAATAGTGCACTGCTCAAATTGACGCCGTACTTGGACGAATCCGGAGTCGTACGGGTAAACGGTAGGCTAAACAACGCCACGGCTATTTCTCCATACACTCGGCGGCCAATTATACTTCCTAAGGAACATCGCGTGACTG